TTTTTTTTTGGATTCCTCCGCCCTGTCTTGGCTTCACTCTCTCGTTGCATTGCAAATTATGTTTCTTTTTCTCGTGCCGGTACTTTTTTTCCAGAAATTGTCATTGCTTTACAGGTGTTCAGAAGTATTGTTTATCTCTTGTCTGTTTCGGTCTCATAATCTTTTTTTGTTGCGTGCCTAGTTCGTCGTAGTGTCTCTAATAAAGGGACTTGTTCTGCCGTTTTGATCTGGAGAGCCCGGTACATCACCGGTCGAACTATTTACTATACACCTTCTTGGGTGTTCGCGAATGCTGTTCTAAAATCTACGCCGCAAATATTGGAAGAAAGTACAGAGATGTACTCCCTTTGTGGGTGGTGAACATGCGACGGAAGCGAACTGGCGGCACAGTGTGCAACGCATGAAAGTTCGAATCTTTGATGAACGCACTTATTGTGCTTCTATATGAAACGGGCCCTAAACGCTTGCGAAACTTCCTTAGGCCTCATGTTGACTATTTACGGTGCTCCCTTACATTCAAGAACACCGAAAATATATATGAGAAAAGTTCCTATTGCCCTTAACAGGCCGAAAAGGGATGCAGATAATTCGAGCCGAGGTTTTCCAAACATTCGTTCAAAATGATCATCTGAAGCTTCAGTGAGGAAGGTGTTACTGGATTCATCGGATACGAATGCTCTCAAGCATATTACCAGCAAGATGCTCTCTCCAAAGGTGTCATCATTTTTCGGAAAATTTTGTTCCCCCGAACATGACGTCCTAGGAAGGAACAGTGGGTAATGAGGAGCTCAGTGGCATTACTTTTTGATGCTATGTACCACCAACTCGTCCCGACAGCGAGGAAGGCAGTTCCGTAAAACGATCGCAATGATCCTCTTCGGTCACTTAATGATAACAACGACGACGGACTCATCAAATCGCGAGGTTGAACCTCGTACTTTCTCAGATGTATAGGAGACCCGAGAAGAAAGGTAGCCTCCAACTTTGTGATTTCGCCAATGAGCTTCAATACTTAGGTGCAAGTAGAAGTGTTCATAGCCTTATTGTTGATCTATTCTTTGACAGTATTTTTTGAAAAAAAACGTCGGTAAACATGTTTCCTCTGTTAGCAAACATGTTCCCTCGGAAGAAAGACGGTATTCCCTCCAAAGACGGCCTTGACCAAATCAGGAATTTGACCACCCTCTGTCGAAGGGACATAAATCTGTCGAAAATTTCGTAACACTATATTGTGTGTTTGGGGTAGAAGAACACTTCGTCGGTCTGCAGTGGCGAGGAAAATTATTCCTTATGAAGTACCATTTCCCAAACTCCCAAGGTGTGAGGGAGGGTGATAAGTAGTCAGTATGGAGGGTAAAATCATTTTGCAAGCGTTTAGGGTACGTTTCATGAAAAAGCAAAACCAGTATGGAACAAGGCTTCGAACTTCATGTCATGCCTATGAGTCCGCCGAAATATCAACTACAACGTCGTTGCAAAGCGCAGCAACAACTCGGATCGGTTATGCCTTCAATATTTTTTGACAGTGTTTTTTGAAAAAAACCTTGGTAAACATGTTTCCTCAGTTAGTAAACATGTTCCCTCTGAAAAAAGACGGTATTCCCTCCAAAGGCGGCCTTGATCAAATCAAGGAATTGACCACCCTCTGTCGAAGGTACATAAATCGTCGGTATAACACAGGAGGAGGGAGGGGAGAGTTGTTCAGCTATTTTGTTTCCAAAATATTATAGTTTCGCAGATTTTGAATACAGCTTCGAATACGAATGAAATCGATCGAATACGTCTACGACACGAGTGAGACGATAGTCTGAGCCCATTGCTGTTTTGTCAGAACGTCACACCCATGTCGGCATGGATAAATAAGCATATGAAACCGTGCGAGTCGACAATCCGCTTCAGGGCAGCGCACTTGTGGATCCTTAAAGATGGGATACACTTATGCAGGAATGATGTTAAGGTCTTGACATCAGGCTGGTACAATCCGATGAAAGCTGGCAAAGGTATCCAGTAAGTCGCCGGTCAACATGAAATGGAATTTAATAGCACGTATAACATTGTATTTATGAATAAATTTTGTGAACCCACACTGTCGCGCCATCTTTCGCCATATTTTGAAAAAGTAAGTTAAGCACAACATAACACGAAGGTATGTGGTATACGCCGGTTTTATCTAAAAATGAAAGCAACTCTCCTTGCCAAAAATGCGGCAATGGGCCAAGATTATGTCAAAACTTGTTTTTCCCTCTTCCTAGTCGATGATAGTCACGTTTCGGCTATGCTTTCTGTGTTCTCCTACGCTACCTGTCGCTCAAAATGTTCATTTTTATACAAGCTGTATTTGTGAGCAAAAGTACATTATTCTATTTCGATTTAACTCAGTCTCAACACCACGGAAGGAACGGAGTAACTACGCGCTAACATTTCTACTTCTATCGTTTTTGAGTGTCATAATAACTTTTACAAACTGATTTATTGTAATCCCCTTATCCTCTCTCCGGAAAAGAGGAGTACATTCGCAGCTAACATGCTATACGGTTCAAGCGATCTCTTCAACCCTAACTGTTGCGATCGCTACAGCTTTCGCTCATGTATCGACCTCATGATTCCAAAAGGCGGAAAACGTTCTAACACACCTGTTGCCCATTGCCGCATTTTCGGCAATGGGTCAAGCGTAGGCGACATGCGCCTAAGTGTTGTCCATATCTTTAGTCGCAACCGTTTATGGCGTAGAGTTTAGAAGCAGAAGATTCTGACACCTCATATCGACCTCGTTGTCCTTCGACTGGTTATCATTTCCCATATTTACGATCCAGTCAATCCCTTTATCACACGCTGAAGTAAGTATACACCGCTGCCTTAAAAAGGATGTATGTATGTATGTATGTATGTATGTATGTATGTATGTATGTATGTATGTAT